CATGACAATTACAGTCCCGATTCTGTAACTGGCCCCAAGCTTGCAGCTGGTATTTATAATTACCACTTTCCACTGCCCATTCTATATTCCCTTTACCCTCAGCAGATTATAGTTCTTTACCTGATGGGGTGAACAGTTTCATAAAACTTCTAGGTCTAGATAAAGGTCTAGACCATTAGTAATGCTGCCTGAATTCAGCTGCTGTAATTTTCCGTTGACTTTAATCACAGGTATGGTAATACTAAGAGACGCCCTTAAGGGATCTCCTGTGTTCAGGCACCCTCTGCCTCACCTCCATTGTGATGTTTAAGGGGTGTGTTTTGGCCCCACCTTCTTGCAGCTGATCCTCTGCAAAGCCATCTTATAGTCTTTCTCAGGTCCTGATTCTGGGTTATACTCAGGGAACCCCGGATAGTTCTCATTCTGTTCAGGCTGGTTCCTAAGCTCATTTATGCCCACACACACTTGGCAGGGCAAGCTCATGATGGAGTCAGCCAGAGATGCCCTTGGGCATTATTTTTTCTTATGTATCCCTAAGCAAGGGCATCTACCTTGACCCTGTGCTTGTCAGAGGGCCAAACTCCCAGACATTTTAAGATTAAAACAGTTACGAAGCTGAACTTTGCCTCTTCAATGACAAACACACAAACATCCAGAACTCTGAATATTGTATCAGTTGGCTATGCTTATTGTATAAGTGTGAGAAATTCCCTTCCTAGCTAAATGCAAACATTGAGATCACACACAGAAAGCCTGGAAGAGGTTTGCAGGGGTGTCTGTTACATTCTGTTAACTGAGAATTAAGAGGATTCCAGGTGTACCTGGCTTGTAACTTGCCTGGAGAGGATCCTGAGTGCCAGTAGCGCTGAGGGAACATTGCTACAGCCAGCTAACATGAAGGACTTCGAGCATGAGAACTGTCAGCAGAAGGAAGACCTTCAAGTCTTGGGAAGAGCCTGGTGTGAGGGGAGGGGTTTGGGGAGGAACAAATACGCCTTTGGGAAAGAGGTGTTGGCAACCCAAAAATGAAAGGCAAGCAGCTTTTGAAATAGTAGGCTCTTGTCCCTGGTAGCAATAAGCAGAAAATATAAATAATACACATTCATTGGGAAAAATTGAAAAGATATTAATCAAAATAAACATATGGCTCTGTATCCTGGTTTTTACAGCAGTTTATTGTAACATATTAAATGTTCTTTGAAAAAATAGAATTTGAAGTTCAGAAAATTAAATTAGGTATAAGGGTTGAAAATTTTGCCCCATATTTTTGTCTGTCAGTTTATATGATCATTTAGGGCCTCTGATGACTTTTCCTAGTTAAGGGCATCAGATCTTGGCATCTATATTGTACTCACTGAAAGGAATTTCAGCGCAGCAAAGCAATTCCAGCTTCTGTTCAGATTACTCACAGAAACAATGCCCAACAGGTTATAAAAAAAAAACTCTGAACTTCAAATAGCCTTATAAACTGGGATTTTTATCCTTTTTTGCAAAGCAATAAACTTAGAACAGTTGGTGGTGTGCTGAAAGAAAGTCTTTGGAGTGGGACAGACGTGTGGGAACTGTCTCTGCCCTTTCCTAGCTATGGACAATTATTTGACCTTTCTGGCCACAACCTTCTCAGATGCAAAATGGGCATAATCTCAGTCACTTTTAGGGTTGCTGCAGAGTTGAAGAGAAATAATGCACACAAGGCACTTGGCATAGTATCTGGTACACAGTGATCAGTCATTAACTGCCAAGTCATATTACTCAAGACAGGGCCCCTGCAAGGGGTTATTGCATTCCCAGAACAAAGCACAGTGCCTGGGATGTCAGGGCTCAATCAGCGTGAACTGCATTAAGGAAAGAAGGAAGGGGTTTCACACAGTGCTGTAGCTCAGGGAGGACAGGCACTGGTGGGGACACAGGTATTTTTTATCTCCTCATACAATTCCCTCTTCAAAGATCCCAATTATCTCAAAAGAACTTTGGTTAAATTTCCAAACTACTCCTCCCCCTGCAACACACAGACACACACACAAAACAACACAACTCTGTGGCTTAAAGAAACAATCACTTTAATTAAATACATTAGAGTCAAGAGACAGAAAAGGAGTGGGGATGTGGGTGCGTGATACATTCCTCTTTCACTGCAAGGTCCAAGCACTAGTTTTCCTTGCTCATTCACTAGAGAGAGAAGGTTGGGCCTCCAGTTCTCATCCATGGGCAGAATTCAGTGCTAAAGTCACAGTAGGATCAAGGGCTCTTCAGCACACTAGAGTCTGATCATTACAGCTTTGTCTAGAATAATACATTAGGCTTTTTCTTTCCTTCACTGTCAATTATAGATAAAGCTACTTGGCACTTCTAAAATTCTGCAGATTAAGTGCACAATTTCTAACCAAAAACCCCAAAATACAAAATTTTTTTAAAAAAGAAAATTCAATCACATCAAACAAATGAAAGACCTGCGGTTGTTTGGGACAGTTTGGTGTTGTGTTTCTCTATCCCCCAGCAGAACTCAGCACAGCACTTGTAGGCTCCTGGAGGGCTTCTAGGTAACTGGCTAAGGGCAGGATTTAACCTGCACAATCTGGCACTCAACACTTACACTGAAGGCAGAGAAGAGCAGCAGCATTCAGAGATGGGGCAGGGCCAGATCTAGAACAGGAGGGCTGGGGCCTAGGAAGATGAATGATTAGCTTGAGCTGGGATTCAGGAAGGGTGTGAACTAGGAGGCAATTAGGAACTAATACAGGGACAGGAACAAGCACTGGTTCTCTGGGCAGGGGGATCTTTGGAAGGAGCTTCATTCTAACTGAGAGTCTTTCAGGATGCTACCCTTCTACAGAGCCTGTCCTGAAGCCTCATCAGAACTCCCACTACACTTACATATCTCTCTTCAAGAAGACTTACAGGGCTTCTAATGACTCATTTAGCTTATGTATATGTCTAATTTCCTTCTTGAAGGCTGGGACTAAGGGCTGTTTCCTCCCAAACCTAGCTTGGTAATCTGCAACAGCACCCTCCTGGTGTTGAAATGAGATGAAATGTGCTAGGCGCCAAGGACCCTGGCCTGAGACCTTGCATCTGGGCAGAGGAACTGTTTTTACAGCGGGGACAGAGGAAGGGGAGGGCAAGGAGACATAATCTTGGTACACGCTGTGTTGGGAGTTATCTGGGTCCCACTCTGTCTCTGCTTCCACATTCAACCCCAGATCTGAGAGTTTAGTTTCTTCAGTTTGAAGATCAGCAGCCAGGACCTTGGAAGGAGGGAAAAGGTATAAAGTGGGGCTGAGAATGGCTTTGTTGGGCATTCACCTAGACAGCCTTTCAGCTGGCTCTATCTCCTGGGAGTCTCTGATACTTCCTTCCTGCCTCTGAGAGCTTATTATTGATGCCCTAGAGCACATGGCAACTGGGGAATAAAATGAGCAAATTGATTTCTCGTTAGAAGACTTGAGAAAGGTCTGCTGACAATGACCATGAACAGTGAGCTGAGATTCCTATTTTGGATTAACCATTGGCTTAGCCTGGGTTCCCCCCACCAAACAGACTTGGAGCAAGAACTTGTATGCTAGTAGTTTATTTGGGGAATGAATCCCAAGGAAGGGTAGTGGAGGACTGGGAAGAGTCAAACAGACAAGGAAGGAAAGAGAAAGGCAATCCAAGGGTACATTATCGAGCTGATCAAGTCGGGCACGACCACAGGCAGCCAGGGCTCTATCATCTTAGGTGTGGTATAGAAAGTACCTTGGAACTAACCACTGGAAGAACAGAAGAGTGGAATATTTCTCCACCAGCTCCTGTCTGCCTTGGTCAAAGGTTGTCCCAGGACATGTTAATTCCTTTGCACTTCCAGGTTCATGCATATGTCAGAATGGGCTGTGGCTTCC